CGAACCTACTCAACTATGATAAATAATCAAAGTTCAACAATAATCGATACGTAGTAAGTTGAGTATAAAAAGTAATAGGTACAGTGTGCGACTTTTTCCGATTGTTAGTGGTTTATGAGTAAAAAGGATAAAAAAACGAGGAAAAGCTTCTGTGTTATTCTATAAGGTTCAATAAACTAAACTATTTTAATAAGTGAAGGGTAAATCATTTTTTTAACACGTTGGCACGAATTACTGTGCACGCCATCTTTACGTAACAATCGTTTTCGATCTTGTGGTCCATAGTTTTCTCATACGATATTTTTTTGTAAATGTAAAATATTTACTTTATTCTTGTTGGTTCAGTGATCTTGGTATTTTGGCAGAATTTTTGGTTCAATTTCGTTGTTGAAATAGTATAATTGTTAGAACCATATTGTTACTTTTTGAGGTTATAGAAGCGTTATTTAATAATTAAAAGATAAGCACTCTTGACAACTTTTTAAGAATCTTTTCAGATTTATAAGTACCTTTCTCGTATTCATTAAAAAATACTTCCAAAATTTAAACGTATGTGTCAAAATACTTGATTAATCAATTATCATATGAAAAGATTAACGACTCTTATTGAAGATCTAAATAGTCAATAAAAAAAAAAATGACTAATAGAATATGTATTTACAATTGTTAGGTATAGAATGTCTTCAAATGGTAAAAATACAAGTATAGAAGGTGATGGCCAGTGCAGTGTAGTTCATGTAAAAAATATTATCGGTGATAAATATTTATACGAAAAATATAATGTCCGACGTTTGACCGAAAACTTAATTGCCAATAAATTGCAACTATCTGTACAACCACTTAATGCATCACAGGATAAGCCTAGTGTTGAGGTACCTTCAATGAATAATCAAGAAGAAAAGATAGAAGGTAAAGGTGATATGATAACAAAAATTTAGACAAATTATTTGTGAAAGTAGAAAATATCGGTATACATACGTTATATTGTGCTGTTCTTCGTTAGTTTACTTTGCTTCCAATTGTTAAAAGTTCATTACAATAGCCCAACATTTAGTCTCCAATAATTATGCTGTTAGTTATTTGGAAAGGTACTTTATGACAGCTGATGTTCTAAGGTTTCTATAGAGCAAGACCCACAAGGTCTTTCTTTCTCTCTCTGTCCCTCTAATATGATAATAAAATCAATGTAGAACATTGACTGAGTTATAGTGTAAGCTTAACACAGTAGTATGTTAGTGCTTTCAAAATGCCAGTGCAATTCAGACATAAAAAAAAGTTATCAAAACGTCAAGGTATTATCATTACTTATAAACTAGCATCTAGAAGTTTCTATTTTCACAGAAACATATTCCATATAGGTATTTGTAAACACATAGTAAATTAAGATGTGTATCTAAATTAAAACTGTTTGCATTTTAGATATTGTTGGTGTTAAGTTAAGATTTATTAATGATCAAAAGAGTAATGATAACAGCAATGGTGTTGATGCATCAAAGCAACCACAATATGATGCAAGCATAGATGAAAGATTACCAGAGACAGTCACATTGCTCACTACGCCGGAAGGTGGAAAATTATATTTAGTAGGCACGGCACATTTTAGTGTTGAGAGTCAGAATGATGTTGCAATGGTAAATAGATTGTATTTCATAATTCTGTAGCTTTCAAATCCATAAAATTCATTCTAGAAGAAACTTTGTAGCATTAAAACAAGTAAATATTTTTTTTGTACAATTAAAGGTTATTCAGGCTGTACAGCCTGATACAGTAGTAGTTGAATTGTGTATATCCAGGATTGCTGTTATGAATATTAGTGAGGAAGTTCTCTATCGCAATGCAACAGATTTAAGTTTACGTAAGTCCTTCAGATTATCTGTTTAAATCAGCTTTTCCACATGGCATTCATTTATTTCATTTTGTAGAAAACTTAAAGGAAATATTAACGAAATATGGAGTTCACAGTGGCTTGTTACACATTCTATTATACCGAATGGTAGCCCATGTTGTTAAAGAACTTGGAATGGCACCAGGTGGTGAATTCCGTACAGCATTTGAAGAGGTAATTTGAACTAGATAAGCCAGTTAGTTTAAGTAGCAATTATGCATGTATTATGGTTCCTCAGGCAAAAAAAGTACCAAATTGTATAATTCAATTGGCCGATCGGTCAATAAATATCACGCTTCAACGTACATTAAGGGTATTGTCTTGGTGGGAAATTATAAAGCTTATGTGGATAGTAGCACGTTTAAATGGTAGTATCAGTAAGCAAGATGTGGAAAAGTGCAAACGAAAGCGTGTAATAGAGGAAATGATTAATTTCCTGAAAGAAAAATACCCAGCAATAGAGAGGACATTTGTAGCAGAGAGGGACCTCTTCCTAACCTACCATCTTCAAAAGGCCGCTTGCGTCCAACGTACCGCAGAAGGGTCAAAACCACCAAGAGTCGTAGGTGTTGTTGGTATGGGGCATATCAATGGAATAGTAGCAAACTGGGGCAAAGTAAAAGCTTCTGATATACACGCTATCATGTGGTACATACATTTCTTAACGCAAGTATCCACGGATGAAATCTTATGGGTGTCACAAGTTGTTTTTCTTTTTTAGTGTGCCTCCCAAACCACTGTCGAGTAAAATATTGATATTCATGTTTAAAGCTTCCTTATTCGGAGCAGCAATTTATGTGGGATATAAGGTAATACCGCTGCCATCAATTAGTGTATTCCAGTCTCTGAAGTCGTCAATTGAGGGGCTATTGATGTAAATTTGGGCTTGCTGATGTAAACGTATATCTACATATACATTTTTAATCGAACAACAAAGAGGAGAAAACAAAAAAACAATTCTTTCCTTTATTTTATGCTGCCTATCCTTAAAGACTGTGTCAAATTTTTTGGCTCTTTTCGTTGACATAAGTATCCGGTAAGCATGGAGACTACTGCCTTAATAGACGAGTACGAACATACTATACCTGGTGTCATGTACGTAGTGCAGAATATACCAGGTCCTGAAATAGACATAGAAGAATTCGAGTCAGAGTACATATTAGGCTGTACGTGTACAGATCAATGCTTTGATTGTTCATGCACACGTGGTTCTCCCAATTATATAAATGGTCTTCTATCGGATGGGAAATTATCAGGACCGATAATCGAATGCAATTCTCACTGTACCTGTAGAGAAAATTGTGGCAACAGAGTGATACAAAAGGGTCCATTGGATTCTTTAATCGTATCAGAAATTAGTCAGAAGGGACTCGGTTTGTTTACCACTAAGTTCATCAGAAGACGCCAATTCATTTGCGAATACGCTGGCGAGATTATTGGTATCGAGGAGGCACGACGTAGAGTTGAAGAGAATAAAAACAGCATGAATTACGTTCTTGTGGTTTCTGAGCATATTGGCGATCGAGTGATAGTGACGTGCATAGATCCAAAGTATTTTGGCAACATTGGCCGTTATTCGAATCATAGCTGTGAACCGAACGCCGATCTTGTTCCTATCAGAGTCGAGGGAGCGGTGCCAAGGCTATGTTTGTTCGCGTCCAGAGATATTCAGATCGGTGAAGAGATAACGTTTAATTATGCTGACGGAGTTGCTAATTCCGTCCATAATCTCAGCGACACACCTTGCCTTTGTGGTTCGAACAACTGTTTTGGCTATCTGCCTCATAATTCTATTTGAAAACAATGTTTGGAAGTATTTTAACCCCTTAAGAAAATTTTGATGTTGATTCAAATTTTGTAGATACAATGTACAGGTCTTTGCAATTTACTTGGTTTATTACTTATTAGTTTTTTTCCATTCACCGCTTTTAGCAATTATTTATTGTTTGTTGAATAAGTCGTAAAAGAGTTATCAAATTCATGATCTTATGTGTTTATTGTAAAATAATTGGAAGTTAGTGTGCCAATTATACAAAGAGGTGCTTTTTTCTTTTTCTTAAATAACGCAATTGAAGACGATCACTTCAATCAATCACGGGAGTTTACATTTTTTATTACAGTCTGCTTGTGTATTCGTTTAAACTGATATTAGGAAAGACAATGGATATTTTTATGGACATGTGTAATCATTGCTAGCTTTATAGTAAATCAAGGAGAAAAAAATATTTTAGACAGTGTTAAGAATATTATAACGTGAATTGGTGCGAAGTGGTGCAATGTGTAGTCAGATACTTTGAAGCATTTACAAGTAACTATTTTATAGTCAAACTTAAAAGCAGGGTATAATTTAATATTTGAGCTAACAAAAAATATTAAATACTCTGTAGTTAATACATATAGTTTTCTAATGAACGATATCATTACTATTCGAGCATTGATTTAATATTTAATGTTATTTACGTATCAAAATCATTTTAACTATGTTAGCGATGTATGTATGGATAGTGTGTGTGTGTGCGCGCGTTTATGTATGTATGTATACACATAAATAATGTTCTGTAAAACGTATTTGCTATCAGTCGAAATTAAAATGAAAATTTTTAAATAGATACAGAAAGATATTTTTAAGACAACACTCTTCCAATGAAATAAAGTATTCGTGCATTTTGAAATGACATCGTTATTTAATTTGTTATAATTTTACGTAAATATAATGTACAAAGCACTTGAACAAAATAATGTTCAATGCTGACAGTAAAGTGGTGTACAGTAAAAGTTCAATAAAAGTTCGAAAGTCGGGACCGCTGTGGAACATCTACGAAAAAGGTGGTACGTTTCTCAAACTCTTTGTATTTTACCGACACCGACGGACGCAGAAAGAGACAGCAGGCAAAGAAGAGAGAGGTATTGAAACTCGAGCCAGTCCTAAAATATCAAACACCTACATATCGGTGATACAACACTAATACACAAGAAAAACTTTTTTGTTTTTTGTGTTTTGCTGATAAAAATTTTACTGACATATCAATTTTTTTTTTCTGATTAAAATGAGACCAAACACGGTATAATTCGGTGTATATTTAGTTACTTAATAAGAAATTTCACACATGCATATGTACATACACACATAATTACGCCCTCTCTATAAATAATTAATACATATTTACATACATCCACACTTTATTATGTCTTTATTATATCTATTAAATATAAGACACCTAAAAAACATTAGATATAAGGATTTACAAAACATTATGGAAAATTCTAAGATGATACATAATTAAAAAATATAGGAGCAATTATAAGAAATTAAATAAATTACAGGATATTACAAAGTTATACAAAATTAAAAAATTACAAAAGATCAAAAAATTCAGTACGTTGTTATATTATTTGCAAAAAATAGTATCACTTTTTTCTCTTTAATTTTTTTCACATACTGATCAAAAACGCTGACTAGTAATTCCGTACAATTTTTAACGTATTAGTAAATTACAATTGTTCGCGAACTGCTTGCGAACTGCTTGTGAAGAGTCCTGAGTAGTGTAAACGTTAGTATAACAACTCCTA